TGGCACGGGCAACATACTGGAGATGGAAATCCCCTGCTGACCATCAGCCACGGTCTCTGACTTGTGTCAGAGCTTCACGCCAGCTCAGCACGGCCTCTTCCCATGAGGAACTGCTGGCCTCTCCCTCACTAAGGCGCTGGGTGTGACGTGCCCTCATCCCTGGCTCTGTCGGGAGGATGTGCGGATCTTAGGCCCTGCCCTCCCCCAGTGCAAGGATACGGTCCCCAAAAGCCACCCTGCCACCTCATCATCGCCACCCAGCTCCTCTTTCCCAAGGCCACCCAGCCGTCCTGAACGCAGCACCCGCTGCTGGGATGGGGACGCCAGGAGCCCCCCAGCTCACAGGGCTCTCTGGACAAGTCAAGCTGTGGGCTGCAGGTGGGACACTGGGGTGTGGGGTGGTATGGAGAGACGGGGGGGGAAGAGGGGCATGTGGGGAGCGGTTTGAGGTAAAAAGGGGAGGCGTGGGGTGGTGGAGGAGTGGTTTCATTTCTTCCTGAGAGGGAACTGGGGGTCCCTGTGGCCCAAAGGCTGGGTGCTGAGCCATAACTCTCCATGAGCCGTAGCCCAAGATGACCACAGAACCCTGGATGTGCGTGACCCCATGGCTGCACGTGACCCACAGCCCTGTGTGAGCCATACCCCCACACGACCCTGTGACTCCCTGACCCCGCCTGCCCCCATCAGGCTGCGACCAAACGCCACGTTGTCCAAGAACTCTGGGATCCCCGCCCCCACCTCACCTCCACATGACCCACGACCCTGTGTCCTCACCCCATGTGGCCATAGAACCAGCGGTGTGTGGGGAAAAGGCATCTGCTCCTTGGGATGGGGTGCCGCAGAGCTGCCCCAAAGAAGCCCTGGGGTGGGCTGCAGCCGTACGTCTCAGTTTGGAGAGCTGGAAATGGCAAAAGGGGCCGGAAGAAGGACATGAATGCTTCTGTAGGGAAATACCTGTCACAAGCCTTGGGGGGCAGGAAGCTTCTGTTCCTCTAAGCGGACGAGAAGAGAACAAACTGACCCCACTGACACAGGGAAAGGGACTGGAGCTTGGCAGCTGCGGTGCTGCGTGGCAATGAGGGATGCTTGAACCAGGAATGGAGCTGGGATGGACTTGCTGTTGGAATGGTTGTTGTGGCCAAAGTTCAGGACCCTGCATTTGGTCCTGTTGAGCCTCAGCCCATTGGTTCAGCCCAGCCATCCAGCCTGTCCAGATCCCTCTGCAGGGCCTCGCTGCCCCCAGGCAGATCCACACTTCCAGCCAACTCGGTGCCATGAAACTCTTTAAGCAGATTTTGCAGCTGCTCCATCCTCAACGATAACAGCAGCTCAGTGCATTACACCCACTGATCTCTTCTTGTCAATCCTGTATTTCATGCTTTAGTTTTCCCCTCTCCTGGCAGGCAGGTTTCAGACAAACTTCCAGCCAACATTTGGCAGATTATACCTCTACCTTTCCCATCCCGTTGAACCTCCAGCATCGGCCAACTGCTTTCCTACCTCTTCCTGCTTATGCCAGTAGCCATAAGCTAAAACCTCAGGGAACACAGGCTTTGTGTGGGCATCACGTTTTTGCAAGCATTCAGCGACTTTGCTCATCATCCTGCCATCTCTGCTAATTTGGCATTGCAGGAAATGGCAAATCCATTTTGCTCGGTTCTGTTTAGCAGCAGTTTAAGAAATAGGTGAAAAATGAAACAGGGACCTGATGATAGATTTGCAGATGACGAGATTCACACTCACTTGCTGATGGGACATCCCATATCAAACCATGGGAGAGCAGATACTCTCATAGGTGAACGTACACGCAAACACGCAAAGCAAATGTGGACAGGGAAACTCTCAGCACCTACTGCTGTGAAACGAACACGTATCATTAAAACAGATAAGTGAGGAAGGAGGTGGATGGAAGAAGAGCAAGAACTTCCGAGTTCAAGTTCTAGGCCGCTGCTCGCTGTCCCACCGCTGCACACCACTGAAGTGCCTGGCTTCATGCATGTTCCTCCCACCTGCCCTCAGGTATTGATAAGTGTTAACACTCACTAAGAACCTCTAATTGCAGGGTCTGAGATGATGGAGATCTGCCGGATACTTTTCCGGCCTCCTTGGAGGGCAAAACCTGGTTCTTTCCACCAGTTGCACAAAGCTGAGAACTTGCTGAGCTCACAAATTCCAAACCACTCCACACGGGCTGGGATTTGTGTCCAGATGTATCGGGCTGCCAGGAGATGACTGACCCCAGGATTGGCCCCGGGCAATGGGACACGAGGCAGAAGGCAGGGACAATCCGGGCATCCCCTAACGCTCCTATTCACTGCCATTTGCTACACGGAGGCCAGCAGGGGAGAGGCACAGAGCAGCACCTTCATGTACTGGTCCTGCACCTTTTGTCCAAGTGCACCAAGCACTGAGAGGCCTGGCAGAAGGGGGAGGACGTGGGGCGTGGGAGTTGCACCGCCACAGCTGATAGAGGCACTCCAGCCTCCAGCTAAGGACTGCCCAGAAACCAGCACTCAGACTCCAAAGGAGCCCAACGCGCAGTTTTACCAAGCAGAGAAGGAAGACGCATGAAGTTTAAGCCTTGCACACGGACATACTTCTGTGCCAGAAGCTCTTGGTCCTCTTCACGGTGAAGGGGGGCAGCCAGAGGCGGGGAAGGGATGCATGGCACCTTGACTCTGATCAGCAAGGAAATATGAGAAACAGAATGCAAACACGGCCAACTTCTACCAGTTCAAACCTGCTTCCAGACTCACTGCAAAATCTCAGCTAGAAAAAGTATCACCTCAATGTATCCACGAAAAACAACAGTGTTGTTAGTTAGTTTTTTAAATATTTTTTAATATACAATAACAGCATGCAGTCGCACTGCCAGTCATCTCAGATCGAACCAGGAGGAGCTCATCCACATCCTGCTCACACTTCACTCGAACGTCAAGTGGAGCAGGGGGTTGTCTTGCAGATGGAGTGAGGCAAGAATTGCGACAGGATGTTGCTGCATTATGGACTCTTTGCATCGACACAATCATCCGTATCCAGCAGGAGATCACAGAGCTCTGGAGGCATCGTTGTGTCCAGCTCATTATCTGAAACCTCTGTCACCAGGCTGGAAGGGACCAGCCCTCTCGTGCCATCCGTCAGCTCTCCCAGAAACCAGCCGTCCTCATCCACATCTCCAAAGACATAAACGTGCTGCCCGGCGGTCAGAGGAAGCTCGCTTTCTGGGTCCTCATTGGGACCCTCAAAAGGATCGTAGCTGTGGCGAGCTAAGAACCTTCGAACTACTGGTGATACTCGTCCCGGGGAACGGAGGGTGAAGGACAAACGCTCTGCCGCTGATCCTCCGCTCTCACTTTCAGGGCCGTCCTCTGACAGAAAGCAGCACTCACCACTGCCCCCATGGACCTCTTTCATGGCTTGGAGTTCACGCTCCAGGTCTTTCAGATGACTCTGAAGATCTTTGGCCTCTGGGATGGCAGAACGGAACGGACTGGAACTATTGCTGAGATTGTTTGCTTGGGCAAGGATCTCGCTCGTTGCCTCTCCCAGCTCCGCTCTCCCTTCATCTCCACTTGGAACTCCCTCCCAGTCGGTGTCAGGATGAGCTCGTTCTGCTGCTCTCTCTCCCCCCTTGCACACACTGTGAAAATGAGTTTCAGAAAGCACTACTCACTGACAGGAAATAAGGGCAAACTTAGAAGACCTTGCAGCATAAATCCTGGCAGCGCACTGCCAGCAGCTGATCCGGCTGCCCAGGATCCCGGCACCACAAATGCTTCATTGCCAAAAGCAGCAACGAAGTGTCTGGGGGAGAAAGACAACTCACAGGCATTCCTTCCACGGCCATGACGCAGCAACGCAGGCCAGCACCAGCGCAGACAGCAGCACAGCTGAGAACAGCACCACCACTGCCACGTGGCGCTGCCGCACAGATCTGCCAGCAGCAGCCTTTGTGCTTCCCTGCATCCTTTGCTGCTTCCCTGCATTCATCCCTGGAAGAAACAACAACGTCCCACCTTACCTTCACCTCATCACCCTCGGGCGGCTTCGTTCCCAAAAGGACAAAGCTCACAGCCCTCTGGGAACCGGGAGCGGTGAGAGGTGAGCAGCATCACACAGGCTTCTCTGGCACATGTGGAACACCGCTGCAGCACGGCTCTGAGCAATGCCCTGCTGCTGTGCAGGCTGCACACGGACATCAGACCTCAGCTTCCCGAGTCTCACAGTGAACAGACTGAAGTACACCCACCATGAACTGCTACTTCCGTTCCCCTCAGCAGTTCTTTTGGATGGTAAGACTCCTCAGAGAATTTTCCTCTTTCCGATTCATCCTTTCCCCTTTCCAGACCTGCACGGAACGCATGAAGTTAAATGCCACGAGCACGAGGTTTTGAAGACCACTGCTGAGTCAGCGCCATCGGTAAAAAAAACCACCACCCCTGGGCATCCACCTGGGCTCCAGCGCAGGAACGAACCAGTGACTGAGCAAAGCCCTCCCTGGGGCACTTCTGCAACCCACGAAAAGTTTCAGTCATGCACAGCAGCATTGCTGAACTGCGGAGCGTATGGGGGAAGCAGTGCCATGAAGTGGCACTGAAGCGGGCAGTGAGAGCTCTCCAAGGAATTACAGAGCCGTGACTTACCCATGCCATCCGCCCGGGTTTTGGTCTCGGAGCTCAGAGGGGAAGCTGGATCACCTCCTCCACTCACATCTGCAAACAAACGCAGCACAGAGCAGCTCTAATTAAACATCCTCCCAATAGGAACGATGCAGGACACAATTAAAGCAGGGGATTCCTTCGTGACACTGCTCTCTCCCTTCCACACAGGAGCACCTCGGGAGCAGTTCCCAGGTACGTGCAGGGGCACCACGATCCTACAGAACTTACACCGCGTGGGGCTGCCCAGAGGAATGCCCTCCTGGAGCTCAGCCCTCAGCTCGACTGCATGGTGCCCGCTGGCTCTGCACAAGGCACCGGGAGCAGCTCAGGGCTGGAGCGGCCAGCAACGACGGCTTTGCAAGGCAGGCACTGCACTCTGCACACAGCCTGACCCATATCTTCCCTTCTCTTCCACAGAGGAAGCAGGAAAGAAAATTAAAACCTGAATGAAAACTAAAACCTCTGAGGGACTCAGCTGTGGGATCGCCCCGTGTCTCAGGGACCGGATTGAAGCTGGGCTTTGGTCAGCCGCTGCCTGGAGACACGGCTGGAATCCAGGACAGCTGAGAGACGTTCCCATGGCATGTGCCCACCTCTCTTCCTTACTGACCTGCGGTGATGGAAGGGGCTCAATTAATGGCATGGGGCAAAAGTTCCAAAGCTGCAGAGAGGCCCGGTGACCTGACGGCTGGTATTCCACAGCTTTACAAATACTTTCTCCAGGCCACGGGAAATAATTCTCAGAGAACTCACAGAACAGCATTCAGCTGCTTTCAATTGTCTCACTGCGAGACCTCTGAGACACAGAGGCAAAGCCAAGACGACGCCGAGAGCACAGAGCACCCAGGAAACAACAACACCCCATGCTTCCCATGGAGAAGAACCCACTGGCCGGTGAAAAGCAGAACCCTTGCTGAACTATCAGCCACACATGAGCAAATATCAAGGAAACGAAGCCTGGTGACTTACCTCCAGCATTCCCCTCAGGCTCATGGACAGGATCCCGTTCTGCTGATTCACCAGCAGGGCCTGCAGGCACAAGTGTGGTCACACAGGTGAGGAGAGCTTCCAGTGCATGTGGGGGCCTCCTTTGTAACACTGGCAGACCTGTGAGGTCTGGCGGTGGGTCAGGGAATGGCATGGCCCAAATACGAAGCTCTGGGCTCTCTCAGCTGAAGAGGGGCAGCG